TGCGCAGGCAGAGATTAGCCTTCTTGGCGAGGTCAACCTAGTTCGTGACTCGGTTGATAACCAGAGGAGCTGTGGTGCTAAGATTGCAGGGTTCGATCTTTCGATCTGAAGCCGGATCGGTGTGTCATTCTCCGCCACAACGATAGTTACCACCACCTGACGAAAGATCGGGATCCCCATCTCCATTAGAGGAGGTGTAGCAGCAATAGTGCGTGGCTCATGCGTCATTGATGTCTCATATCGGTACGTGTTGTAACCTGTCATTTTAGCATCAAACAAGAAAACACACAAGTATGTATTTTCCTATCAGCTACTATAGTATGTGGTCAAGGAGTAAAGTCACACACTATCAAGCGTCTTACCACGGTTTATAAGTGTTCTTACCAAAGTAACAGACGGTACAATCGGTCGGTGACCGTGATACCGTTAGAAGCTTGAGTGTAACAGTTGCAAGGCGAACCTGTACTTGGTTAGAAGAAAGTGGAGCTTGGACAGACACAATATAGTAGCAAGGAATAGCAATAATTTAATTTAGAAATTACAAGATTGAAAAGTGGTCCCAAGCTAGTCTATGTTGCCAGCCTAGACTCGTCCTGGACCTAGTTCAACGAGCAATAATATCTCAGCATAAGGACTAAACAGGATGCAAGCACTTCTGGAAAAAAAATTCACCTTCCCTTTTTTCCTTTCCTTTTTCTTTTGGTGCGGCTTTTTTTTTTTTTTTTGTACCTCTTTGCCTTTTGCGTTTCTTTGTTTTTTAACAGAATGTGCCACAAATGACTCTATTATGTAACCACCATATGAATCAATCAAAACTGCATAGGCTTGTGCACCAATATGCGTGGCTGGACACGTGAGCAAAGCAACTCCACAAACGAAACACCTTGTTGATTATTACTCTGACGTGTTCTAAAGGGCAACAAACCTTCCTTTTTTTTGGATCTAGTACCGAGAACAACCATAGGAAATTTGGAGTCCTGAATTTTTATGCACACAACAGCAGCTTGTGTAGATGGTAAATCAGACGTATAGTAAATCTGATCGACCAAAATAAACACCAAACCAATCTATTGGTCAAACCAACTTTATCACTAAGATATATTTTTTTTTGTTCAGCCAGCAAAGAAGACTGACACTAGACCAAGACTAATTAACCAACGAACACAATGGCATGCGAGGGATGACAATTCAACAAAGCAAACTGAAATTAAAAATATTGCAAGGCACAAAGAGGTTGTAGGATATGGAATATGTGGTAGTGTATATATTTTTTTGGCTTTTTTGGACTATAGGTAATGCAAAAATAGTAACAATCTAAAGGGAAAAATAAAGTTATACCTAACGGACAATAAGGTCTCTAATACCACTTGATGTAGACAAGGCCCGATCTTACGATAGGTACGATAGCGTCGATTGATGAAGACTCGACGTTCACGATCTAGCCTTCGAACCAAAATATATTTGGACCCTCGCAGCCGTTACACCACTGCCCCGTTGGTTATCAACCACGCAAACACGATTGACCTCGCCGAGAAGGCTTTCCTGCAAGCGAATCGAGAACACAAGCAAGAACGGGATGAACGCAATCTGAAATTGCAAATAAATATGAGGCTTATGATAACGAGAAGAAGTTCAGGTCTTTATTCAAAAGGACTAATCGCCACAGGCGAACAAGATCAAGAACTAGGGCCCTGGTTCACAGCAAGCGGCCTTGGCGGCACAGTTACAGCAAAACAATGTATGTTTCACGTGGAAATCAAGAACTAAACAAAACCCAAACCCTAAGGAGAGCGACGGCTGCTAATTATAGAGCCCCAAACGTCCCCCCTGGGCGCACCCCCTAATGGGCTCTAAGACGATACACGTCTCAACGGACCAAAAGATGGTGTCGCAGCACCCTAGCAAATTCTCGACACTGACTTGTTTCGACGATTCCTATTGATTATGAAGGGCTTTTGATGTGAGACTACTTGCATTGGCTTTCTTATATAATTAGCTTTCCATCCATATGTGGATCGTCAAAAATGGAGCTCGGAGGCGCCCGTGTGACCAGCTTTATGACAGATTTGTCCTGGAACCCGAAATGGGCTCGAACTTGATTTGGGCCTCCACCTTGGTGACTTGAACCGGATGAGATTCGGGCCTCCTTCTCGGTTAGGACACCCTCGCTGATCTCGTCGTCCTCTATCTCCAAGCATGGTTGTATGCATGGAGCTCATGTCCTTATCACTACATTATTCGTATAATGTTCTCTGTTTCGTAATTTGATTTGAACAATTGCCAACAACTCCAGCATTTAATAATTAGTGTCCATTCTATTTTAAGCACAACAGCTATATTTCCTTGCATGATTACTCATTTCCAAGTGCTCTAATGCTTCTATGTGTCCTGCATTTATTTATCTAAAAGTCTCTGTGTGTTACCTATAACAGCACAAGTCGTATAGAACTCAAAACATCACCAGACTTACTTTTGCTCCACCATTCATGTCTTATATTCCATAACATTTTCTATTTGATCATTGAGTATTTAATTTGCTTTAGTTATGACATGGATTATGTTGTAGATTTCATCTAATGAAAAATATGAATTATACTTTAAATTTGTGCACCTATAATTCTGTATCCTACCTTTCCTCATTTGCAAGATTTTGCTTTGTCCCATGAAAAAAGGTGATGGATTCTTGCCTTTAGATATTGTGCATCGACCATCGAGCTACCCATAAAGAGGGGGGGAAACTATATTTCAGCACCTTATTATTTGTTGTGCTCATCACTCATGGAAGCTATTCGGAACAAAAAAAAAGCTCATAGAAGATTATAATGACGTTGTAGTTCAATTCATATATGTGGTTTAGAATGACAATGGATCAAACCAGATAAGCCTCTCTTCCTTTCCGTCCCCCTCCCTCCGTTTTTGGTGTATGACAGGGAAACCCGTTTAGAGGTCATGCAGTTCTGATGTGCACTTCTTTCTGTGACTATTATTCCTTTCCCCAGAAACACACTGAGAAAAGAAGCACGGAAAAACAATATTTGAACACCATTGAAGTACCTTGCATTTGACACATGGATGATAATTGATATCACAGTAATGAGGTATAACTTAGGCTTTTTCCATGTTGCAGCAGCCTAAAACACATCTGAGAACTACAGGATGCATTAGAAGCCAGATCCAAGCCGATCTTTGCAGGTGCCAAAAACTTTCCTTCAAAATTGTTACATCCCTTTTTGACACCTTTTCTTAGTAGATAGAGATATCTTGGTTTTGGTTATCCAGCAAACCATAGCAGATATCTTGGTTTTGGTTATCTAGCAAACCATTGCTATACTGAATCACTTGACATCAAGACAAAAAAAACTGATACTGCTAAATGCAGTGTTCTCTTTTTTCTGCTTTTGCACCTTGATGTGAATCATCAAGCACAAATTATCTCCAGCACATGACATGGAAATCATGATTCTTTCTTTTTATTACAATGTCTAATCTGGAGACTGATTATACATATAGACAACCAAAATATGTTTGCTTCCTTCCAGTAAATTACATATAGCTCAAATATTAGTTACAATCTATGCATGCACAGGTTGAGGAGCATCCTTTCAGCCATCACAGCTCGGCACACCTTCTCCGCGGTTCTTCGCGTCTCCCTAGTGTTGTCCCTTTGCCGTAGTGTGCCAGGCAAGGCCAACTAATCATCGGAGGTCTAGCATGTCGAGGGAAACATGAACCCTTCACATAAAAAGATTGGTTTGGATCCTATCTGGCCCCAAGAAATCGAGCTTCCCTTGCCGTAGAGCCCCTCTCTTCGTTCCCATTTATCCTGCCAGCACATGGGTTGTGCAGCACTGCACGGGTTAGACGATGATCAGCATCTGATGATCTTTACTGAACAAAACTACACAGGTAAGACACCTTACTAATTGTACATTACTTATATACATAATGGTTTTATACATAAACTAACAAATTTCCTTCATAACCAGGTGATGAAAAGGTATCAGCATTTTATTCCTCAGGTCCATCACATATATTACTTCTACGCTTTTCCAAGCACTCCATATCGGAACAATGGCAATATTCGTACAGATTAACCATAAAATAGCCCACTGTCATATTATTTTATCAGACAGTTTCTACTTCACTGATTATTTCTTAGGTTGCAGTCACCACACAGAATGCATGTGCCACTACCAGATCTCCGGTAAACATTCTTATCCATGCAGAGCACCCATATTCTTTTCACAAACTCATAGAAAAAAAAACTAATATAGCTTCTATCGACAGAAGACTCCAGCAGGCCGAGCTTAGTGTCCATCGATAGCGACCTTTTAGACCGTGAACCAGAATACTAAACAGCTGAGCCGCACTGCCGCATCGTGATCAAAAGATGCATCCATATGTACAGTTAGTCCAGAAGAAACTGTTTATACAAAATCTGTATAATTATGCTCTAGATCGTGTACTACTAATCATGAAAGGCATTGTACAAAACCGCTATGCCTATCCGGTACTATGTTAGCTCCAAACTGCCACCATGTACCTTGACGTAGACATATTACTAAATTTATACATAATTCTTATCCTCTTAATCCTCTTGCACTCCATTTATTCAGCATGTATGTTTCACATAGACACCAACCATCCTCATATTACAATGCCGAATATTTACGTGTCTATGCTCTGATCTTAAAAAAAATATGTCCCGTTCGCTTGTCTGAAAAAAGAAACCAAAATACTATAGCGGCTAGTTGTGTGAGAAAGAAATACTGTAGCGGCTGATTGATGAATAATGCCACTGTGAGGAGAAACCAGCCGGCTGGTCTGAAAACCAGCCAGCCGAACGGCACCAACTAAATGTCAACGCGCGTGATGGCGCGCGCCACGGACTGGTCTCTACTATACGAAATCAGAGCCAAGGTTCGGGCGGTGGATATGGCCACGTCGCCCGCAACGCGTACGCCGTTGGATCGAGCGACGAAGCGATGTGGTCCATCCGATTACGGATCGAATCCGATTCCGCCCAATTTCGTTGCGACCCGAAATCCCAGAACCTTCTCGCGCTCGCGCGTCGCGTCGCCGCCGCAGCCCTCGTCCACGCCGAGCGCCGCCGCCGTCCTAGCCTCCGCCCAGGCCGCGCTGCCGAGCACCGCCTCGGCGGGAAGCACCGATGCTCCTCTTCCAGCAGGCCCGCGCCGCACCTCCGCCGCGGCCACCACTCCCGCCCTCGCCCCCCTCGCAGCCTCCCCACCCAGGCCGCGCTGCCGAGCGGCACCCCCGCCCCCCGCCGAAGCGGCGCAGCCGTCGACGCCCTCGCCCCCGTCGAGGCCGCGCCACCGCCGCCGCTCGCCACGAGGGGCGCCGCACCGGCCCAGATGGCACAGGCTGGCAGCACCGGCAAAGGGCGGCGCGAGAGAGCAAACGGCACCTGGTGCGGAGGAGCCGAGTGGGCTCGGCCAGTAGCACATGGCTACAGGAGGTCCAACTGCAACAGCAGCTTTCCTCGCCCTCGGCAGCAGGCTGTCCATAGCACCAGAAAGAGAGAGCTGCTAGCGTGCCAGCAGCGTACGGGCATAACACACCTTGTGTGCCCGCGACCTGTTCGACGAAATGCTGCGCTCGCCACGGACCAACTAGCAAACAATCTACCCCTGTGAAAGTATGCGTACGTCTCTGGCAGTTTTGCTGGATTAATCTTTCACTGTAATCGAAGCTGGAGACCAATACTGCAACAAATATCTCACCAGGTAACTTGCCCAAATATCATCTTTTTAATTTGGCATCCATTGGTTAGCTTCCTTGGAAATAAACTACCTAAATATTACTCATGTTCAGCATTATTGTTATTTTTGTCTTATTACAACTGCTTGTGCAAGCACTTAATGAAGCGATAGGCTGAACTCCAAAGCAATTCTTGAGGTTATTGCAACTGCAGATTTGCATCAAGAAGTACTTGTAGATATGCCATGCATGGGAGTCAAAAGCTTATTAGTCATTTGCTATCTACGAGGATACATGGAGCAAACCCCTTGTCTCTGCAACTGAAATAAGATTACATCTGCGAGATGAGGTCAAGCTAAAGGTATCACCATATTCATGTCTTTTATTTGTGTTAATTGCCTTCTGCTGCAAATATACAATGGCCACCAAGATTGTTGTAGCTGTTAGCTGTTTTTCACCTTGTAGTCCAACCGTGTTATCTGAAATTGGCATCTTTTATTACACTTGGACATGACACCAACAATGCTAACATGGAAATTGTAATCAGATCTTTTCAGAAGTCACATGGTCATTTGTTTCGTTTTTACAGAAATAGCAAATTGCTTAGCAACTGTCCCAGCCCCGGGGCAATACTATTCCATTTTCACTGAGTGTATTCATTAGTCATGGGATAATTTCGTGTAATTGTGTGAGAGCAATTGAAACATGTACTTGTTTTTCCTGTCCACTACTTGGGCTACACACATTTATAATAAAACACATCTATGTAGATATGTATTTGTTATTTTGTGCATCTCTTGTTACAAGTGTTTAATTTGAATTCTCTTTTATGCAGGATTTAGTGAAGAAGTACTCTGAAATCATCAACTTCCCTATTTATTTGTTGTCAACCAAGGAGGTTGATGTTGACAACCCCAGAAACTACAAAGGAGGAAGAGACAGAAAAAGGCGAAGAGAAAGAGAAAAGACCCAAGACGAAGACAACAAAGGCGACTGTTTCTGAATGATGTGAAGGTTGTATGGCTTCGCAGCCCAAAGGAGGTTACTGATGAAGAATACTTAAAGTTTTACCACTCACTAGCTAAGGTAAAATATTGTACCAATGAATTAGTAGGTTGAAACAGTTTTTTCCCCTAAAGAAACCTTTGTGTGCGGCCCTTGTTCAAGAAACATATGTATAACTTAACAATTAACAGTTCTTTTTCAGGACTTCGGCGAGATGCTGAGGGAGAAGCTCAGGGAGATGCTGAGTTCAAAGCTTTGCTCTTTATTTCCCACGAAGACTCCACATGATCTCTATGAGAGTTACTACAACAATAACGTGTCAAGCCTTTCTAGGATATTCTTGATTCAGACACACTTCCCCTGAATGCATCACGAGAAAGAAGAAGTTGATCCACGAAGCTCTTGACATGATTAGGAAACTTGCTGCAGACCTTCAAGAATAGGATTCTCTTTTGAAAGACATAGACAGTACTTGTTCATGTTAACAAACTGTGGCATTCAAGAGCTTCCCATCTTAGAACAAGACGTGACCAACATTGTTATTATAGATAATTGAAAATCCTTATAGTTCAAAATTGAGAGCATGGATGATCTTGATTTCAGTGTTAGATGTACTGTCTTTACTACTGGCTTTTTAATATGAAAGTACTTAAACTCAGGCATTCCGCTAATTGCAAGTGAAGTATGTTAATTTAGTACCAAAGGTATTTTTTTGATTCCATTCCATCTCACCATAGTTGCACTACCTTTTCAAGGTTTGTCATTGAGATGTGAGAGGTTTCAGTGGCAGGATAGAAGCTCCATAACGCCCACTAGTTGCTTGATCAATTGAACCAAAAAAAAAACTAGAAGTTTTCTAGTTCTGTATATAAATGTACTCCAGTCCGTGTCAAGCTTTGGAAGCTCTACGTAGATGTACCGCTTCTTCATGATTATCTGTTATTAGGTTCGTTCTTACGTCACTTTCGCCCTGATTTTCATCAGTAAATTTAATATACTGACCATCTGGCCTATCCGCCTATATGGTTGGATGGTAACAAACGCCATTGCACGCTTTTTATCCACCAAGACTTCAAACTCGATCCTATATGTTTTTTTTTAAATAACAAAGGGATCGGTCAGAGATGCTATGCAGATAGCAGGTTTCGCACTCTTAACCGTTGTAAAAGCGATAAAGGAGTGACTGATTGATCCCATAAACGTAAAAAAGTACTAGTATAATTGTGGATCGTATGTAGCCCAGGCCAGTAAAGTGATGTCTAGGAGGGATTGTTTGAATTCAGGGCTAAAGTTTACAGGTATCACATCGGGTATTATATGGGGATATCACACATCGAGTGTTTGGATAGTAATAGTAAAACAAATTACAGAAGTCCTAAGTAATCCGCGAGACGAATTTATTAAGACTAATTAACCTGTCATTACACTACTAGAGAACACACTTTAGAATGATGTCCCAATTTGGCATTAGCCTCGGCATTTTTTGCCGCCGGGACTAAAGGTCCCTGCCCAACGGTCGTCCGAGTGGCGGGATCTTTAGTCTCGGCTGGTGTTACCAACCGGGACTAAAGGACCTTTAGTCCCGGTTGGTAATACCAGCCGGGACTAAAGGTTTTAGTCTCGATTTGGGTGATATCCTGAGAATAAATATTAATCTTTAGTTCCGGTTTGGCCACCTAACCGGAACTAATTATGCGGGCCTATACAACGGCTATGTAACAATTGTAGATATTGCTGAGATGATCAAACTTGGTATTCAGAGTTTTTTCATCTGAGGTCATTTAGTGTCTCATTTGAGCAAGTTTGACCAAGTCAAATTTGGTCAAATGAAAAAACAACACTTTGACTCTAGTATTATGAACTCTAAATGACTTCAAATTGAAAAGTTTTGAATACCAAGTTTGTTAAACTCAAAAAGATCTACATTTGTTTGTTTTGGTCAACTTTCCATATGAGAAAGTTTGGACGGTTCAAATTTGTGATTTTTAAATTTCGATGCCTACAAACTAGTTTTCGGAACCCTAGATTGTCTCAAATTGAAAAGTTTTGAATACTAAGTTTGTTCATCTTATCAATATCTACAATACTTATATAGGCCATTTTTTTCATTTGAGAAAGCTTGAACAAAATGTAGTTTAAATTCACAAATGTGTGACATAGTTTTAGAAAGTATATATATGAGATTCAAGAAGTTGTGACTAGTGTTTGATAAAAATTTCTCAAATGGGAAAATAAGCTATGTAACAATTGTAGATCTTGCTGAGATGATCAAACTTGGTATTCAGAGTTTTTTCATCTGAGGTCATTTAGTGTCTCATTTGAGCAAGTTTGACCAAGTCAAATTTGGTCCAATGAAAAAACAACACTTTGACTCTAGTATTATGAACTCTAAATGACTTCAAATTGAAAAGTTTTGAATACCAAGTTTGTTAAACTCAAAAAGATCTACAATTGTTGTTTTGGTCAACTTTCCATATGAGAAAGTTTGGACGGTTCAAATTTGTGATTTTTAAATTTCGACGCCTACAAACTAGTTTTCGGAACCCTAGATTATCTCAAATTGAAAAGTTTTGAATACCAAGTTTGTTCAGCTCATCAATATCTACAATCCTTATATAGGCCATTTTTTCATTTGAGAAAATTGTAGAACAAAAAATACTACATTTTCTTTATTTTTATAGGTTCAACAAAAATTTTCTGTCAATTTTGGTCAAAAACCGAGAAAAAAATTGAAACATTGACGTTACAATAATGTGATAATAAATTTCCTATCGAATAATATTAGTTTTATTAATTTTAAGTTACAAATATATTTTTGCATTAACAAAATACTTAGTATTAGTAACATTTATATTCTATATTCATAAAAGAAATTAAAAACTTTAGGTTACAAAACTTTCCTATTTACAATAAATAATTAGTTAATCAATAGTATTTTTTAAAATAAATATTGTAAAGTATTGAAGTTGCTATGGAATTAATTGATTAACCTAGTATTAAACAAAATCAAAATCCGAGGCCTTTCCAATTAGGCTGACGGGTGGCCAAAATTTTCAGGCCTTCAGTCCCGGCCCAGGCCAAGAACCAGGGACTAAAGGGTGGGCGGTAATTTCGGTGCCCGCCCAAAAATACCTTTAGTCCCGGCTGGTAACACCAACCGGGACTAAAAGCCTTTAGTTCCGGCTTGTAAGGCAGCCAGGACTAAAGGGTCAGACCTGTAGTCCCGGTTAGTCTTACCAGCCGGGACTAAAGGGTCCCGGCCTATATATATCAACTTGTTCTGTTCATCTTCGATCTCGCGCGTCGTCTCTCCGATCCCGTCTCCGCCGCTGCACCCGAGCTCGTCCTCTTCTGCCGTCGTCGAGCCCCGCCCGACGGCCGTCGAGCTCGCCCGCACGCCCGGCCTCGTCTGCCATGTCGTTGAGCCCCGCCCGTCCCGCCTCCGTCGAGCTCTCGCCCGCCCACCCGGCCTCGTGATCTCAGCTGCCGTCGTCGAGCCCCGCCCACCCGGCCTCGTCGTCGAACTCGCCCGCCCGCCTAGCCTCGCTGCCGTCGTCGATTATAATGTTGGATTTTTAATTGTTTTTTAGATAATACTAATAAATAATATTTAGTAGTTTAGTTAGGTTTTTAGATAGTTTTTGATATATGTTAGTTAGATTTTTTAGTTAGTTAGATTTATTAGATAATTGATATATGTTACTTAGATTTTTTAGTTAGTTAGATTTATTAGATAATTGATATATGTTAGTTAGATTGTTAGTTGATATATGTTAGTTTTTTAGATAATTTTTTAGTTAGT